GAGTGGTAGATGAATAGAAGATAGGAAATTTAAACAAATTCTTATTCATTTTATTTCCATTTTTCTGTCAAAAGAAAATAAGAGAAAATGAAGAACTCTGTCTTGTTTTTCCCTCAGTCCATGGCTCTTCTGTATCTTTGGTATCGACAGCGAGCAGTCTGTATAGCTCGGCTGAGGAGAAGCAGGCGCACGAGCTGAGGAAATTGCGGCGGGAGCTTGTGGACGCTCAGGAGAAAGTCCACTCGTTGACCAGCCAGCTATCGACAAACGTGAGTACAAAACATGTCGCCCCGATTATTATTATCGATAAAACACGCTCGACGCGTATTAAGTACCTGCTACTGTTCGCGTCGACCTCGGTCAGTAGTGTGCAATTTATACGTCGGTCTATTAAATTTACGTCATAGACAACAACGGATGTGTCTTGCGTCACGGCAAGACGGCTGTTCTTATTGCGAGAGCCGCGAATTGGTGCAAATAATTAATCGCAATTAATCGAACGGCAGATGGAACAGCTAGCTTTAGAACTTTAACAGCTTATAGTTCGCGGTACGGTTTAACGAGCAGATCCGACCAAACCTGTTGGTACAATTTTCTTTGTGGAACAGCCATATATCATTCGACCAACAGGCCGCACGCATTAGCGAGGCACATTTTATATTTGCTAAATGCGTTTGCACTTTATATAATGCGAGGTGGGACGAATTACGATAAAGGAAATTAATTGAGTAGAAAAACATCTTCAGTCGATATAGGCCTATTTATAAACAATTAATTATATATAACTAAAAGTGTGTTAAAAATTGTTTTGAATCTGATGATCCAAGTATACTTTTCTGTCTCAAAGATTTTCACAGATTTTTAAGTAATTAGGATTTCGCTGTTATGTTTTATTTGATACGTGGTTTTTTTCATCCTAGCAAAAAATGTTGTAGCTGTAATTGTTAGATACAAAAAAAGTCCTATGCAATTTCCTTCTAACTCCACTCGTTAAGGAATAATTGGCGATGAACGAATTAATTAATCGATCAATCCTGAAGTATTCAAGATAGAAGAAAATAGTATACGACCTTTTTTGCAGGTAATAGCAGTACCTATAACTTTTATTTGAAGCATTGTTCGAAATTTTACGAAAAAAAGAAATTTTATTTTCCCAAGATTTTGCCAACACGGTACCGTTTTCACAGTCCAATTCAGGTCTCATGAACTCGACTCGTATATTGTTTTTAAGTAGCCACTCCTAGGGTTAGTCATTTGATCAAGGGTCGTGAAATAAGAATCCCGAGTCCAGTTTCATTCATTTATTAATCAGACTTCATTAATCAGCGTACAATGAGTCGTCGATAACACATAAAATTATACAGCCGACTCAGCATCGACGAGTGTTTTGATTTCTATTTCTTACTTCGGTGGCAATATATCCTAGAGGGCGTAAAAAAGTACGGACTTTTTTGAACGACACAAAATCCCATAAGTATTTTAGTAATCTCTCTTCGACGATACGTGATTCCATCGGGTTGTAGGCTCCTTTGAGATGATTTTAAACTAGCCGCGTTGGTTCCGCACAGCGGAAGCGTCCGTATAGCTGAATGGCTGTTTAAACGAGGAAGATCAGTGGCCTCGGCCAATCGGACGCAAAGCGGCCACTTGCGGGCATCTTGGATCACCGTAGCGTGGATCGGTAGTCGGTTTACATTCAGTTTGAGCCGAGACGCGCTACTCTGAACGTCGAGGAACGCTCTATAACGCGATTCTATATACGCGCAAACGAGTCGATTGTTGTGTTCGATTCTCGAAAATCGGCCGGAGACCCGCGATTCGGTTTTAGTGTGTCATCAGATTATGTGAACGAACAACGAGTCGAATGTCAGTGTTCAATCGGCGTCTCACCGCTATCGAAGCTCGGATCAATGTGCCGGAGTCCAGCGACGCAACGTAGTGATCGAGGGAAAAAAGTAAATCGAATCGGAGTCGTTCGTTCCCAAATTTTTTGCGAATGCAAACGGTGACTCGATGACTTTCTGTCATTGTATGCGACTGGTAGATAATTTGGCTACCGTTTGTTTTACAAACGTATTATCGGCCGTTACGCTTTACTCTCGTGACACTTGCCCAGTTTGTTTACTGTTTTAACCCTTATCATCTCTGCATCAAAGTGGGAGACTTGATAAAAGATAGGTTCACATATCGTGATAGTATTTTTAAAAATACGAGCAGACGGATGTAAAATTATTTCTCTGACAATTTCCTTTTAATGAAGAAAGTTGTCATGAGTTATTGTAATATTGTATTAATGTTGGTTCGTAATGGAATAATTTATCAATACAAATTATTTATATTAATGGTAAAAAGTTGATGGCGTACGATGATTTTTAAAGCATGAGTACCGGTTGAGAAGGAGAGCGTCCGCGAGGGTGCTTGATAGGTGAGATACATATATGGTAGAAAAGAAGCTCGTCGTGGATCGTTCCTAGGAAACGATGAATCTACCCGAGTCATTTTTGCCCGAGTGCTATGTGCGACGGGTACATATCCGACATTCCCGCCGCGTACACCTCCGTCCGCTATCGCCGTGTCTTATTTTCTCTTCTTTATCTTTTTCTCGCGTTTCCGTTTCTATCATTGGTTGTCACCAGCCTATAGCTCGTCCCACAAACGATACTTCCAAAAATGAAACAGCAATAATCCTTGAAATCATTAACGATTACTTAATGAATAATGTCTTCGTCGCACGACGTTCAATTTTGTCAGATGCTACCTGTCCGTGCGTTGAAATCACTTGCACAGCATCCCCACTTCTCTAAAACTGATCTAAATGTACAGAAACAGAATGAGGTGTTAATGAAAAGAGTATCGTTTATTTCAAACTGATTCACGTAAAATTGATTGGAAGTAAATCAATGTTTGACTAGGCATCGCTAATCTTATGGGGCGTACTGTAGTCCGTTTGTCACTCGTGCGACCGTGCACAGAGCAAACCGCAATGAGCCTCGCCAACCGAGGAAAGAACTCTGTCTTGAACTCGGAACCTGCGGATCTTTCCGACCACCATTTCCATTTATAGTTATTGACGCCTTGTATGGACCTCGTTATGCCGATCGTCTTGCGAATCGAGGAGATAGCCTTTATTCGGTGATGTATAGTTGTCACTCGAGCTTGATCAATGTTACACCGACAGTCCTTAATATTGCCAGATCTGATGAGAGTTTATTAAAATGTTCCTTTGTCTATATAACATTTTTTAATGAATGTCTGTACATAAATTCAATCATATTAGACTGAATTTATATTAATTACACATTTGGTCATATGAGAATCTTAAGTTTTTTGTAAATCAGATGTTTTACGTAGTTTCTACTAGTATATTTATAAGATTTGAGGATTGGTCTTACAATTAGTTAGAACAGTAATTCGAGGTAATATTCTAGAAACCTAAATTCAGGTATGCAATTTGGAATTCTAATTTAAACGGTTACTCGTTTAATAGGCAGGAGTAATTAAAGTAACGGGTATCCTTGCGTTAGATGCACCTGAGCGGTTTCAATTATGCTATTTTAACATATAGAAAATAATTAAATATCAGTTTCTTGCCAATTTTACGAGTTCTGATGTTCGTAACAGTTCCATTCTATAAAATATAGCGCACGGAGTCTATTAATTAAAAAATCAGTAGAATATTGTACCAATTCCTTGGAAATTTATTATAAAAATTAGTTACATATTTAATCAACTTTCTTTTATTTAACGAAATTCAATTATATTTATCGCCCTCACGAATCGCTAGTAAGAAAAAATATTTAAGCAGAAAGTAGATTCTCATAAATTCATGAAAGTCGGATAAATGTTATAATTAAAGTACTATAATAGAGCAGCTGCGTGTAACGTTTCCATATATTCATACGCATAACAGCATATAATTTTCGATGAATCATTGCGAGCTGAAAATTCTTTTCATGATACAAACGCGTCCGCGTTCTCCCATTCGTTTTTGTACGTAATCGATGAAAAACATGTGCTTGAGGCTTAATATTATCTAATCTCTTTAGGAGAGGAAAAACGGAGAGAAGTCTAGCAGTCGGTTGTTTTGACAAGGTTTGTGTGAGGAAATATCGGCGACGGTCACGTATGTGGGAAAATGACTAATTATATCGTTCGCGCGTTCCATGTTTCACCATTGACAGTAGTTTGCTCGTAATCAAAATTCCAGTAGACGCCTATAGCCGGAAGCCAAACAACAGGTAGATACATACATACATACATAACTCACCGAAGCAGGACTTTCTAGCAGCTAGCACTTCGTCGTCGGAAGTGCGTCATGCAAGGCGCCGCACGGCCAATCTGATGTCGTACAAAAAAATCTTTGTGCAATTTTAAGAATTGTAATACTCACGACCTGAATCCGTCACGATCGATCAAACGCGTTTCATTCATTGACATGCCTCTTAATACATGCATTGAGTGGATCAAAGAGTAGTAGCAATCGTATTAGCAATCAGGATTTAATGTTAAATGATATTGTACTCACTTTCTTCATGTCGATAATCAGACATCGCCTTCTTCCTTTTTATTAAAATGTTCTGTGAAGAAAGTTAGAGGTTTGCACCAGAAAATGAAAGCTGTGAAAGTAATTTCACGTGACACGATTGTATCGTAATTTTATGATACTTTTAGGCCACGTTTTTTTTTATTATTCTCTCATTGTCGCGTACTGGTGTCGTAGCCTATCGACTGGGGACGTTTACTTAAAACTGTTTCAATTTTAATTCTTCTAAACAGAAGTTTATCACCTAAAGAGTAATGGTAGGAAACTAAGGGGAAAGTTCACAGATTTTATCGCTATAAGCGTCGCGATGATTTAGAGCTGCTCTCGGGACATGCATCACCAGATGGTTGAGTTTAGTGAGTCATCGAACTGTAAAAATTTATGATAGCGATTATTATCGAATTTACGTGACGGATCCCTTAAAGGATCGTAACGCGACTTACACAATACGTCGTAAAGCGGTAACGTCGTGGATTGTAATACGTTGTAAATGTGAAGTCTTAAACAAATATCTCTCTATAGGATCACTTCTAATTTATTTAACCATTTACTTCCTTCATTTCGTGTCACAGTCGATTTATCTTTTCTGACTTGAACTCGACGTTAAATACAATTTACAATCAACAATATAAAATTGTGTTTACTGTATTGCGTACAACACAGAACTTCTTTCAATGGCTGGATATCGTTTTCCCTGAACAAATATTCTAAAGGGAAGAGGATGGT